ATATATATATATATATATATATATATATATATATATATATATATATATATGTATTTTGCAGTCGTCCAATCTCGACTCATCCTGGCTGGAACGTCGCGAGCGTGCGTGTGGCCTTAAGTGGAGGCGTGCTCGACCTGACAGGTTGTTTAAGCTCCCTTCTAACGGTTGCTTCAAAAGTTTTCGCGGACGGTTTGAAGAAGAATGCTTCGATCAATGTACTCGTTGTTCAATATGCTATCCTATGTCCTATCTTTCATNGTCATTGTTTTGAAAATGAACATCTTAAAGCTTACATTCATCCAACAACCCGGGTCAAAATACTATTAAAACCATTGCGTTTCTGAAGGCGAATTTATCAAAGCAAGAGAGATACGGCAACGTGGATAACCGTAAATGAGAAATCATAGAAAAAGGTACATTCGAATGGTATATCAGTAATGTAGTAGGTCGAGTACCGAAAAGGCTTGCGGATGTGTTCAAAAATAGAAGCCACACGGGTTTTTAATGATATTTGTTAGTTGCAAGGTATCGCATACGTTCCATGAAAAAATTGCACTGTGGATTATTTCTATTGGTTTGTATTAGGGATGGGTTGACACTGGGTTCGACTTCACAGTTATTCAAATGTACACACAAATATAATAAGAACTAGTCATAGCTTCCCTTTTAGGAGTGCACCAATGTTTTCCGAAGAATCAATAAAAAGCATTGTTAATATTTGCGCTCTCAGTCATTCCGAGTCATGTGTATGCACAGCCAAACTTTCTTTCTGAATGTTGACAATGGCACTCCACCTTCCTTTCCCTACCTGAAACAGAACGACAGACGTGTTTGTATGCATTAGGCTTGACAGCAATCCGAAAAATTTCTGGCGTATATTTACCAGAATTTAGCCAGAAAAAAAATTGGTTTGACTAATCAGCAACTTGTTTTCTCCACCGCAATGCACTTATTTGGTATCGTCAAATCGCGCTAATTTCCACGTAGTACTACCTAGAAATTGACGTTATTTCAATTGATTAGGTTTTTGCTCTCTCATTCACCAGGAAAATACGTTGGAAATCGCCCGATCAAACTGAAACGTAGTGACTGGCGCACGCGGCAGCTGGAAACGGTTCGCAAGAAGGAGAAAGAAAAGAAAAAATTAGGTCTGAAAAATTGACATTTCTGCTGCTGTCAATCAATTGCAGTTCACTTTCAAATTAACTATCTTTTCCGTGTCACATCCTGTACAAAACATGCTTTCTTGCTGAGTTTTTTGTGTGCACAAATTTCGAAACAAAACGCATCGCACTCTTCTGGCGTTTTTACGTACTGATGATTACTTGGTTTTATTGGCTTACACCCACCGGATTTCCCGTCTACCGCACTCCGCCTTACATGAAATCACCGCGTCCGGGTGGATAGAATCACACAGAGGTCATCAGATGACGTGAAGACGAGGCATGAATAACTGCACATAGCGATTGGCTATCTTCCGTCTTCCTGATTGAGGGTCTAAAGGTTAACTGGTTGGTTAGAAACAATAAAAAACATTTACAGACCAGAATACTTCACAGATCAACTTTGATCCCCCTCATCCATTCTACACACTCATGCGTGAGCTTCACATTGATTAGCGATGCTTTCTCCGCTGTACAATGATGATGACCAGCAACTGCGATCAGTGCGGACCACGTGCTTCTGATAATACTCAGCCTGGGAAACCTAGCTTCANCACTAGAGTAACTTTAATCCTGCTGAATCACTCATTTCAATTGACGCACCGTCTTGTTCAAGAGGATTAGGAAAAGTAGCTAGTCAGGATCGCAGCTCCTCGACGTTGGAAGTACACAGTTTTACTCATCTCTCGTTTGACTAACAGTTATCTCAAAGTTGAAACAATTATTTCCCGAAATGAACTTGAACAAAGAACACAACACTGCAAGCGAGCACGATATAATTTCGGAATCATATCTCTGCGTCTCAACTGGCGCTTATTGCAGAAACAAAATATGTTATATATCACAGATCATGACAATCTAACATGGTATCAGGGCAACGCAGACTGATACCCTGGTGACCACGTAAGCGGAAGAATGAACTGATACCACGTTAGATTATCATGACCTGTGATATGTAACATATTTTGTTTCTGCAGTAGGCACCAGTTGAGATGCAGGGATATGATTCCGGAATTAAATCGTGCTCGTGTTGTGTTCTTTGTTCAGTTATCTCAAAGAGTAAACCGTTTGACAGAGAACCTTATGAAGTCCCTTCAGCACAGTTAACGGTATTCGTCTCGTATACATAGAGACGTGATTGCATACTGTTTATTTTACCTGTACGGTTAGTTTTCCGACGCAACAGTTAATCATTTCCGTTAAGAAATAGTGCCAAAAGGGTTCGATGTCGTATACCGGAAGCAGCGCGGATGCACTATATTTGTATCTATCCTGTTACTAATAAGTAGTATAATATATAACGTAATTTCAGTAATTTCATACATAGAGACGTGATTGCATACTGGTAAGCACGAGGAATCATCTGTCTGTGAGTCCAACTAAATGACTATTGGATCTCACGAAGAAGTTGAAGAATCATCTGACAAAAGACTTGAAATAGCTCCAGTTTTTCTGGGAGATTACGACGCGATCACGGAATGTTTCTAAAGGGGTATTTCGAGGAGGTTCTGCTAAGTACCTTCTTGTGGCAAGTTTTTTCATCACCCTAATGACGAAAGCTCCAGACCCGGGTTAATAATAAACTGGATTAACTTTGGAACATCGAGCAGAGATTTCTGAAAAGCCTCATGATGCCCTTGGCCATCCACTCCATCAGCTTGACAGGATACTTGAATATGCTCGACCTATGAACCGCATCTGATGGACAGTAAATCCGAAACTCGGTGAACTGCAGTCTTTGCACGTTTTTCCGCCGCCTTAAGGATCAGGTTGATGGTTGAGGTTGCGAACCTCTAAGAAGATCAGCTGCCTTCACATGGGTGGTCTGGAAGTATTGCTTCCATAAACGAAGTATGTATTAGTTTCCTGTTCGTATGATATGCTTATAACATGAGTTATTCGGCACACAATATGGACCCAGATATGTGTGATTTAAGATTACAAGAGTAGTACATAAATTATTATATTCAGACAGGAGATCAAGTGTGTACAGGATAAACGTGGTCATCGGGGGCAAGCAGCTGATTGACATAGACGGTTAGGAGTGAATTAAAGGACACAAACATGTACTCATTTGTGGCTTATGGGTAACAAACCCGCGCACATGCACAGAACTGCTTGAGATAATACAGGGGTATAAAAGTCACCCCACGTATAACAAAATTGAGTCATGTTGGATAACGCGTGAAAAAATTACAAACCCAGAGATCGAGGATAGATTGGCTGCTAAGCGATGGTTATGGTGAGTGATGCAAATCGGGTGGGTGAAGAAAAAGCAAACTCTGTTTGGGGGAATGAGAAAAAATGGAAATTAAAATTCCGAATGTTGAGTAATCGCGGCAAACAAGTTTCACCAATAGAAGTGATGATTCAAATGCACCACAAGGAATGCGTTGCAGAAGTTCATCTTAGGGTAAAAGAAGCTGATGATAGTGATGGGCCGTATACGATAATCACAGATGGAAACTGCATGACAAGCATATCACAGACATGGGATCATGCACTAAAGATGAGGCTAAAATACCAAACAGTCAGAGGTGAATGTAATGACATTCACGAGGAGGTCGTGGAACTCTGCTGACTGCCCGAGCTAGTCGTGCCTCCACCACCACTCCCACCCAAGAACGATTTGAAAGCATCAGAGAATTTTGAGATGACACCACCACTACCGCCAGCTGCGCCAGACACCACTGCCGCACGCCAATTGGCATTGATGTCACCTAAAGTTGACAGAATGTACCGGGGAGAGAATAGTGAGGATTACGATAAATGCTGCTGGCTCAGACGAAAATAAACGAACTGCGTGCAAATCGCATTAAATGAAATTCAATCGAAGCACAGACTATTGAAAGCGGGCTACGGTAATCAACAAGTGCACTACGGATTTAGCCCTTATGTTATGCAAGATTACAAAGTAACCGCCCGAAAATTCGTTAGCGTACAACACGTACGGTATCGTTTCGGATGACGATGGGGTCCTGTGTAAAAGAAAACGAGCAAAAATAACGGGAGAATAGTCGGTGGAAGATCTTCCACAACGTTCAAAATGCCATTGCTAAACATGATATGAAATTTTGCAGTATAGTTCAACTGATCGTTCTAAATACAGTACTCCGGAATATTCAAAAAACGATTTCTGAATCGATCGATTTAGATGAGAACACACATCAAGGTCGCATATACGGGGTTCGTTGGAGGACTGCTATTCACGGAAGACAAGTAGAATTGAGGGGTGAGGGAATAATGAATTAGACTGCCATGGACCGATAGTCAGTCTTTGCAAAGTTCCAGAGCAGGTTACGGGGAGGGAGAAAACAGAACAAACCAAAACACTCACTGCCTAATTTATTTAAGCCCATCATTCCCTGGCTCATCAGACGACGTCCACGGTCGGCTGCCAAGTTGCTGAATCTGAAACGGCGAAGGCACATGCGGTAAAAATAAGTATACATGGTTTACTGCGACAACAGTGGTGTTTATATAGGAATTCACAACACTGCAGTGGTATTGTGCTGATTGGAAAAGTTGACTTAAGAATGAGTTATATGCAGAGCGGGAAATACCCCGTGTATTTTACCCGTGCGATTAGTTTTCTGTTTCCGACGCAACAGTTAATCATTTCCGTTAAGAAATTGTGCCAAAAGGGTTCAATGTAGTATACCGGAAACAGCGCGGATGCACTATTTGTATCTATCATGTTACTAATGAGTAGTATAATATATAACGTGATTTCAGTAAACCTTAATCATTTAGGCGACTGATCATAGACCACAGTTGAAGAAACAACTCCGTCTTAGAAGCTTACTCAGTGGATTTCGATGACTTCTAAGGAAAACCTGCTGTGGCAGTCAGCTTACACGCTCCCAGGTAGAATCCATATACCTCCATAATTATGGTAGGTGATCCAACTGTGAAAAGAACACCCAGCACGATGAGCTCTTAGATCAGCTAGAAGAATGTGCTGAACAAAACCGTAGACCGTGTCTATGCATGGGTTCAACTCCTACCGAAGATACTGAACGGTTGAAAATTTGAACAAAACGCTCCAATCTGCCGAACTACCTGACCTGAATGGTTGAAGTGTCGGAACAACAAGAGTTAACGGGAATCTATCATAAAACCAGAAGTTTCAACATTAACTCCACCATGGCGATGCATATAGCGACTAATGGATTATTACAGGCAACGGGTCATTGTTGGTTGGAATACGACTACGGGCATGTTTTGGGATAGAATTGATGAAACGTACAAACTAGGAATGAATGAATCGGACCGCATGAAGAAAATCAGCAAAAATGCCTAGGAGTGGGTATCCGTGTG